TATATTTTCAGTTTCTTAAATATAAGTTTATATGCACTGATGAGCATGAACACATTTGGTCAGGGTCAAGAATCACAATCAGTACTGCTAAAAACAAAAATTCCATTTTTAAAGTCACTAGTATTGAAAATAGTTTTTCAGAGTACTGTATTACTTTCCATTTTCTGTTCTTTGTGAAACTTCTGTTGTTCATTGGTGTTGGGAAGAAGGTAGATACTACTGTATTTATTTTATCGCCAAAGATCAAGGTCTTTAGTTCTAAAAGTTATATTTTATGTGCCACCTGACAACTCCTTTTTCTGTTCTTAAGTTCATAAGTGAGCTTAACATGTGTTTTTGTTGGCACTCTTTTCATGCATACACTATACTGTATAAAGTGGAACTCTTTGCTTCAGGTCCTAAGTACATACAAGTGTTTCTGTTTTTATTTATTTTCCGAGATGAATTTATTGTGGTATACAATAGCTTGATAATTGATATTGATTATCGTTATCATGTTTATACTTCCAATTTCCATGTGTGTGTGTGTGTGGATTAGGTTTGATTACCTGATGACAGCATTCCATGTTGCCCAGTCTCTTGTAGCCTCTCTCAATAGACTCTTTTCTTTGAGGTCATTTCTTACAACCTCTCCCCATACACATTTGTTCTGCTTGAGTTATCATATGGTGTCAGTTTTATACCAGCCCAAGATTTCTGTCTGTTAGTATGTAAAGGCGTAGATCAATGATAAAGCATTATTCATATCAGTAAGTAACCCGAGTTCATTTCTCAAAAAGGCGACTGGGTCTTGACATACTGTTATGCCATAACTTATCAACTTGAATTATGTTAAAGATTAATATACTAATGAGGTCAAACATGGCACAAAAACAAAACAAAAACAATTGGCAACTCGGTACATCTTAGTCCAAGGTTCAATCACAGCCTTCCTCTCTTTATCCCAACAGTTCAGGAGTGAAGGTTTGGAATTAGACACATTACAAAAGATTCAAATAAAATTTAATAACAAAAATTTACCATAATAAGTGTGTAGGTTCCATAAGATAAATTAAGAGATCAAAGAATAAACATAATCCTTAATAAACCACTAATATATGCACAGTAAATAAACAATAAACTACTTTGTAATATCACCATTGATTGCACTTTACACCCATAAATATACTAGAGCAGCAATGAATAGTTAATACTCAACTGAACCTGATTTGAAAAGGTATCCACCACTGACAAACTCAAATGTCCTTCCACCTACACGGCCAGCCAATGACTGACATTACTGCAGGGGACTACAACCCAAATACTAATATTAATCAACTCTCACATTAAGCTACTCAAATACCTACATACACACTGAAAATATTTTAATGTATCAAGTACCAGTCCTGCTCACACACAATTACAAAAAAATATATTATTACACTACTTAGGGTAACATGCCAAAAAAATATTTCACTATGCACAGCACAACGCACCACTGTACATTACGCCATGCATAACAATACTGTACGGCATAATGGAGACTACTTTATGGTTTTAATGTTTTCTGTATCTTAAGAGAGCTTATCCACTGCTTGAAGTAATATTTATCTCAGAGTAGGGTGTTAGTTTTACTATTAAGGACAATTGTTCTGTTTGGGCCCACCCACACACAGGCACACGTTCCCCCATTGGAAACATAATGCAGTCTCGGAAATTTGTTCCCATGCCTAGAATGGAGAGATTTTCAGGAATTCTTAAAAAAAAAAAAAAGGCTATCCAGAGTTTCGGGGTCAAAGATTCTGGGTAACGGAGAGGTTACTGGTCCATATCACTATGTAAGATAATAACAGTTTTAAGGCCAGAAGTGATAACAACATTATGTCTTTGACTGAACACACCACTTCTTTTCATAACAAGAAATTACGATATATTTTATCTGCCATAATCCATTGATAATGTAATCATGCTCACCTCTGCTGCTATGCTATAAACACTATCCTGATGAAATCACTAAGGTGTCAGTACAGTACTATGTTTTTTTAAATTACTTACGTACTTTATAAGATAGAGTTTATTGCATTGATTTGACAATTGATGGTTGATTTATGTGTTTACCAATAAATATATACAGTACAGGTAGTTTAAATTTTGGTGTCGGTACATTATCAATTTTTTTTAATTCATATAAGATACCTTGGTCCACCTATGACAAGATTAGTGCGATGTCGGATTGTTCAGGTTCCTGTAATTGCTTTATTCCTATCATTTGTCGAGGAAATCATATCCATGTGACATCATCGCCCTAGAATGCATATCAGTTACGAAATATGCGACTGTAGTTGTTAGCAGGTCACTATTAATATGTGTAACTTTGGAAGTTTGGTGACTGTACACTACAGTATGTAGTGTATAGATGTACAGTACTGTACTTTTATATTTTAGTACAGTATCTGGTGGGCTGGTATTGAAAATAATGTCATTAAATACTGTGTACAAATAGTATTTTTATTTTATTTTTTGTAAAATGTGGTTAGAGGGAATACTAGAGTATGTAACATACAGTATGTATGCCTGAGGTGGTGTGTGTCAGCTGCTCAGGACCACAACATTCCATAAGCTTGGGGAAACTTGACAACAGCGGTATAAATCAGATTTGGGTCTCAGTGTAAAACAATTTCTGGTTATTACAACTGGGCCAAAAATAACCAAGTTGATGCTGCTGGGAAAGTTCTAATTAGTGAAGGGTGAATTATAGGAGTTTGAGTGTACAGTATTTGGTAGCCTGAAACTTTGTGTTTGTTAGGTACTGTTCGGTTCAGTACTGTACAGTACTTGTATGTGTACAGCCTCACCATTGAGTTGATGAAAAAGTTAGGCACACTAATATCTTCTCCAGCACATGTTTATTAAACACTATTAAAATAATGGATACATTACTTCAGTATTTTCATTGTAAATCCATGAGATATTTACAGTTCAGTACAATACAGGTGTACAGTGCAGTACAGTACAGGTACTTATATTTTGTTATGGAATTGCTCTTAGTGTAAGTGTGAAAATTTATATACGTACAATACACATACATAGTACAGAATCATTGTCAAAAGGGGGACTTTGTGGCCTGGAATGTAATATTTCTTTTACAGTACTATGAAGATTTGTCTTTGTTTTCTGGTACAGCACATCATACTGTACCAGTTTCAGTTATACTGGACCATAATTTTATAGCAACACAGTCCCAGTATACTGTACATATATGAGGGCAATTGATAATTACTGTATCCGTACACTTATTTGAAAAAAAATAGTTATCATAGACAATACTGTACTTTCATTTATACTTTTGAAAATACTGTTACATGTTTTAAACTAAAATGGCACATTACCATTTTAACTTAGATATAATTTTGATAAACCTATATTTTTCCCCCACAGTTGAGAAAGCTCGGAAAGGTTACGAAGAATAGCAAGTAATCCTTGGACTCGTAGCAGAAACAGACAGCTTAACAGGTAAGTGCAAGCATAAGATTGTACAATATTATTATTTCTTTTTATGCATGTCTTTCATCTCCAGTAAAGTTGACTCGTGCAGTCTGTTGTTAATGACATCCACATACAGAGTTCCCTGTTTTAATGAAAGAGATGAACTGTAATCCTGAAAATTTGATTGTATCAGGAAATCCTGTAAAGAGACATATTTAATTGATGCATACACTGTCTAAAGGAGCTAAAGGTTGAGTATAGTACTGTACTGTACTAAGCGTGAAAATACAACCGAATGGTCGCCAACTGGCTCTTTCATGTGTCAGTTTTCTGTCACTTCAAATCACTTTATCACATCCAACTTCACATTCAGTGTCACTGTTTCCCATTCTCCTCCAGTACTTTGGCTCTGTTCCACTTTGAGCCTTTTATCCTGACATGTTGCATTGTAATTAAAGGTGAAATAATGGTCAGAACTCACCATGGCATGCATAAGTAGTATAAACACAAACTCTCTCTAATCCTTTTCTATATAAAAATCCTTGGTGATAAACTGTGTACTGAACATGCAGCATGTTTTATTGACTGGACTTTTGGCCATAGTTTAATCAATGGAAAAGGCCAGAGGAGGGGAGGACGATGACAATGTTAACCCCAAGTATCATGTTACTGTACTTTGGAGAATACACCATCATATTCTATGGTTAAAGCTATCATACCAAAGGGATTAAACCATATAATTCTGTGGTTTAAGATAATGTACACTTATTAAAGGGGTTTACATATCTTATTGTCCTTGTGACGATCTGTTGGCATTACACTTAATCAAGAGGGTGTTAAACATCAAGGGCCTTTTTTGTGTTTGGTGGCGGAAAATTTGAGGCATTATTTTGTGTTTGGTTATGAGGAAGACACAGGGAGGTAGAAAGTTGGTTATGAGGAAGACACAAGGAGGTAGAAAGTTGGTTATGAGAGACACAAGGAGGTAGAAAGTTGGTTATGGGAAGACACAGGGAGGTAGAAAATTGGTTATGAGGAAGATGCAAGGAGGTAGACAGTTGGTTATGAGGAAGACACAGGAGGTAGACAGTTGGTTATGAGGAAGACATAAGGAGGTAGAAAGTTGGTTATAGGGAAGACACAAGGAGGTAGAAAGTTGGTTATGAGGAAGACACAGGGAGATAGAAAGTTGGTTATGAGGAAGACACAAGAAGGTAGAAAGTTGGTTATGAGGAAGATGCAAGGAGGTAGAAAGTTGGTTATGAGGAAGACACAAGGAGGTAGACAGTTGGTTATGAGGAAGACACAAGGAGGTAGAAAGTTGGTTATGAGGAAGACACAAGGAGGTAGAAAGTTGGTTATGAGGAAGACACAAGAAGGTAGAAAGTTGGTTATGAGGAAGATGCAAGGAGGTAGAAAGTTGGTTATGAGGAAGACACAAGGAGGTAGACAGTTGGTTATGAGGAAGACACAAGGAGGTAGAAAGTTGGTTATGAGGAAGACACAAGAGAAGGTAGAAAGTTGGTTATGAGAAGATGCAAGGAGGTAGAGGTAGAAAGTTGGTTATGAGGAAGACACAAGGAGGTAGAAAGTTGGTTATGAGGAAGACACAAGGAGGTAGACAGTTGGTTATGAGGAAGACACAAGGAGGTAGACAGTTGGTTATGAGGGAGACACAGGGAGATAGAAAGTTGGTTATGAGGAAGACACAAGGAGGTAGACAGTTGGTTATGAGGACACAAGGAGGTAGAAAGTTGGTTATGAGGAAGACACGAGGAGGTAGAAAGTTGGTTATGAGGAAGACACAAGGAGGTAGAAAGTTGGTCATGAGGAAGACACAAGGAGGTAGAAAGTTGGTTATGAGGAAGACACAAGGAGGTAGAAAGTTGGTTATGAGGAAGACACAGAGAGGTAGAAAGTTGGTTATGAGGAAGACACAAGGAGGTAGACAGTTGGTTATGAGGAAGGCATGAGGTAGAAAGTTAGTTATGAGGGAGATTGAAAGATGTGGAAGGCTGGCAGTGAGGAAGATACAAGAAGATAGAAGAGTGAAAGAGTTTATTGGGTTGGTTATGAGGAAGATAGAGGGAGGTAGAAAGAAAGATTTATATCACTATTAGTCGACCCTCCGCCACAACCAAGAATCAGGTCAAGCCGGACATTGCTTGGCGTACCTGACGTGAACTTAACATTACGAAAGGTAACTCGGCCAGAACCGTAGTAGGCTGTGTCGTAACTTCACTCAGTCTTCCTCATAACTTGGCGGGATGTATTTATTTATTTATGTATTTGCTAATTAATTTATTATATTTATTTTTTGGGGAGAAGGAGAGGGGTTAGTCTGAAGTTTTATGGGTAAATAATTTGCAAGTGAATGGTGGGGAAAAGACATAAAGTAGCGGAATGAGATAGGAAAGTGACTGATATGGCAGCGTAGATGATGTGGGGGGTTAGAAGACATGGGTAAGGAATTGTTTGTGTAGACTGATGGACGGATTTACTGTGTAAGTAAAGGGTTCCAGTGTGTAACATTATTTTATTAATTTAGAGGACAGATTATTATTATTATTTAGATTTTGTGTTAAAGAAAAAAAAGATTGTTATTTAGAATAATTTGGCGGGTAAGAATTTAAGTGATTTTTGGCATTTTGTGGAGGGGGGGTGGGAGGGGGTGGTGGACACATGTGAGTCATCGGCCGCCATTCATGAGACAGCCACCACCGCACAAGAAGAGTGGTGGTCGTCGTATATGGCCACGACAACGCCCCACACCCGTACTTTCTCCCTGCCCACATTTTTTTTTTTACGCTTGATTCCTTTATGTGTTATGTTTGTCATCTGTTGGGTGAGCAGGTGAGAGGTTCCCCCGTGCCTGGCGAGCAACATGGATCTCCCAGTTGAAGTAAATTTCATGTGACTCCGTATTCTTGGCTTACCTGACTTGAACCTAATTCAAGTTCATTAAATAAACTAAACAAAATCAAATATTGTAACATAATCTTAACCAAGTAACGTGAACAAGGTTTAAAAATTAACTTACCTTGTCTTACCCTAGTAACATTAACAAACTATCTTAAAAATAACCAACCTAACCCAACCCAACCCAATTCAATCCAATCCCCAACCCAAATAACCAAAGTAAAGTGACTTCCCCCAAACGATGGAGAAATTCTACATTATGTCAGTATCTTGTAGTTTACGCTCGTCCATACACCATCCGTCTCTTCCACTGACTTGTGACCTGGTTATCATTTTGGTTATTAATTACAAGTTCGGTAAAGTTTATTCTGACACTTGTGGTCATCTCACTTTGTAGTTATATATTTTTTTCTTCATTTTCTGTGACAGTTTTGTTACTTATAATTTTTGACTTCTAGAACCATAAAATCCGTCACTCCAGGTGGAAGCTTGGGCGAGTGTCTGTGTTATTGCGTGATAAGGGAAAACGCCTGACATCATTGAATGCTAGTGGTTATGGTAGTGGCCATTTGAAACGTTACGTAGGGTGTGAGATGATAGAAAGTGGCAGCTCTCAGCCTCACCCATCCCCTACCATTTAACCTCCTGACCTTGAACTTCCACCATGTAAGGCTCACCATTTGATGTCTCCGTGATTCGTTTTTCTCGTTCCAATTACTGTGCACTGGAGTCTAGGAGCAAGTTCGACGTCATTTTGTCCTCATCTGTGTGTCGGATCGTTAGTCAGTCAGTCATGTGGAAAAAAAAGGCCGTTAAGAACAACTTTCAAATACACCAGTCACCATTAACGTGGCAGTGTCGTTCATTATTAGATTACTAACTCTCTCCAGACAAGCGGACTATAGACATAACCCCTATCGTGTTGTACATTTTGGAGGGGGCACATTGGGTAGTCGGTTGGGTTTTAAAAGAAATAAACCCGAGCGCATAATATATGGTGTGTGTGGGGGGTTAAGTTGTGATGGTGTGGGGGAGAGTGGTGTGTGTGGGGGCGATGGTGTGTGGGGGCGAGTATGGTGTGTGTGGGGGCGAGTATGGTGTCGTGATGGTGTGTGTGTATGGTGTCGTGATGGTGAGGTATGGTAGTGATGTACTGGGGGAGGGGTCAGGCGGGTTGGGGTGGTGAGATATGCCGTATATGGTAGGTGACTCACAACAAGCCTCTGACAACTACCTGTTCTCGCCTCCCCTCCCTCCCTCCCTCCTTCCCCCCCTTACCCTACTACAGTTTACACTCCCTTACACTTCCCATACTGTGCATTTGTTAATTTCTTTCGTGTCCATTCGCTTCACCTGACCTACACCTCTCACCGCCACCTTGACCCCAGCCACTAAAAGTAATGTTCCTCAGAGTTAAGTAAAAAAAGGTGTCCTCTGTGACTCATATGGCCATTTGTTGTAAAGGAATTTATATGCCATGTTTTCGCACGGTTGTTGTCGTAACCTGTCGGGACCAGTTCAAAATGGCGTTTTATGTAAATATTTCCTAAGTTATTTGTAAGGATTTTGTGAGTTTGCCTTCCTGCTGGTAATGATCCTTTATATAATTTGGTAAATATGTTTCCAATGGTATATACAATTCAGTTTGACGTAATGCTGAGGTTACGATAGTTTTCTGGGTTATATTATTATTATTATTATTTTTATTTTATTTTATTTATTTTTTTATAAATTGTATAGATTTTTTTGTGGCCAATCGGTTTGGCCGATAAATTAATAGGGATTTACGATAATGATATTTCCCCCTCCGTCATGGCCACGGCGACTCCCAAGTTGTCAACCATTGAAAACGGTGTATCGCTTAATTAAATGCATCTCTGCCTATAACCTTTGGCGCTTATAGGAAAATAATTATCAACTATCGTTTTTACCAAACGGAATCACTAGGCAGTTCAGTGATGATTATTTTATTTGTTGAAGGTGTTCTACGTTCCTCAGAATGAAAACCGACCAACCACTGGGACTGTTAGGTAAAGATGGGCAGTAGGGCATAGCGAGTGTGGTGGGGCATCGTTTTATCGGAAATACTATTTTTCTCCAAACCAATTAGTAGAAAACGCATATTCTCCTTCTTAGTTTCTTCAGAGCATATGAATTATTTTTTTTTCGTGGAATCTTGCTTCACTATTACGAGATTTATAAGAATAGAATTATAAGTTTGTTACAGTGTATCTGCTGTACATGTTCCCAAGGTGGTGGCAGTGTGGTGAGAACTGTAAGACAGGACATATCGTTGTGGTTTTCGACATAAAGGGCCGCATAGTAATGTTATTATATCTGAATAATTAACAAGTTGATGCATTATCATGTTTCAAAGACTTGTTAAAGACAAAACAAACATCGACTACACAAACAAGAGGGGTGAAGACTCAACTTTTATTTTCCTTAACCTCGTGTTGAGTCCCGGATTAACAATGTATCGTGGTACTTTGGTTTTGGTTGTCACAGGTATTTATTTAATTAGTCAGTCCGAGTCGTCGGCTGTTTATGCAGGTTATCTGTGTTTCTGACATAAAGGGAGCCAATTTATTTCTGTCATCTGTTTCCGGACGCATGGCGCTACTTAACCGGCAAAACTTCATCACAAACATTATATCCATAATGCTGGCTAATGTTTCATTTAAAGAGGTAACAATGACAATTATTATGATAACTATCTATATATATATATTTATCATCAACCCAAATATGATGAGCGTGTCATCTCTCACTGATGGCATAGTGCCCTGACGGTTCAATTCGTTCAAAGTTAAATATAGTATGTCATTATCACGCCACAGTTCCCAGCGGTTTACCCACACACCGATTTCAAACTTCAAAACCGAGAATTGTTTGTTTGCAACGTGAAGAACTGTTCTTGTTTTGTAAGTCATGACCACCTAATGTTTATTGGATAAGTTAACCTGGGCTTAAGGGAGAACGTCGACCTTTGGAAGAAAATTAAAGATTCAGACTTTTATTAAAGTGAATCTTCAAGCTTGTGATTAACGTGCTTCGCGATTTTTTTGTTGCCGTCTTAGTGTCTTGCTGTGCAGTCTTCACGTTATCAAAAATGTCAAAACTGCAGTGCATAGCTTTTATTTATTTGCTTTCTGTTTTCTATGTACATAAATCAGCCAGTTAGCGCTTGGTTTTATGGTGACGTAAAAAATTAGACTAATGAACATATAGATGTACAGTAATTATAAATTTTCTAATCTAATCGAATGGCAGAGTACATTTCGCCTCGGCCCGTGTGGCTAACGCGGCCAGTATCCATCTCGTGGTTACCCTTGTTTTTCCCTAACCAGAATATCATTAGTGGTGTGTGTGTGGGGGGTTATCCCAAGGTCAGGCTATCATTAGGGTGCGTCACTGAGAATTTTCCCCCACACCGGAATATACAGTATGGTTAAGTAAACAAAATTGTGGACAGGCTGTGACCAGGGAAGGGAGAATGGCTCCTTCCAACACACCCTACCATTGTTTTCCTGCCGCGTGCACCTGAGCGCCTCTGTGTGTCAACACCAGACACACACAGGAAGATATTTTTACATACCAGTCATATGAAATGTATGTGTCCGGGTCAGCGAGTCGAACCCATGTTTCTAGCCATTGTTCATATCCAGTGGGAGAGCCGAGCAACACCAAAATATAAATACTGTAAATGGGCGAATTGTTGTGTCATGGTGTTGGGGACGCAAAGGTCTTGGCTTTGTATGCCCGCCATCTGTTTATTTTTTTATTTTTTATTTTTTTTACGAGGATTAGCCCACCTGGGCACAGGTCACTGACCCACATCGGGGCCTGGGGGGGGTGGGGGGGGAATTGAATAATAATAATAATTCATAGTAAATAAAATTCACAATGAAAAATAAAATAATAATAATAATAATAATAATAATAATAATAAAACAAAATACAAAAATGAAAAAAAAAGATCAAAAGTGAGAAACAATATATGTATGTTGTGTTGTCAATAGTAAGAGAAACAATTGAGACCCTGCAATTGTGT